TCCAGGTACTGGCTGCACTCGGCGCACTTGAGGCAGGCGGCGTGCCACTCAAGGTCGGGCGACACCCGCAGGATGAACTGGTCGTGGATCTGACTCCCGCAGCCCACGCACATGGCCGTCCCGGGCTTCTCTGCCGGGGAAGGGCGCGGGGCCCGCGTCAGGCCTGGCTGCCGGGACCCCGGCCGGCCTCGGCCACTCCAGCCCCAGCCCAACCCGCTCGCTTTCTCGCTCTATCTTTCCAGAATTGCGACCCCAAGGAAAAAGAGACGAGCGTTCTAAAGGGCCAGGCATTTGGAAACGAAAAAACAAAATCCTTCTGAATTTGTGAAGGTTTTTGTCTGCCCCCGAATATTTTCGCTATCGCATTCACTGAACACAGTCGTTTCATCGACACATCTTGCAGCCAAACGCCAGCGTGAAGGTGAGAAGAAAGAGCGAGTCGACGCTTGGGCACTGCGGGCGCCTCCGCATCCATGCCCGGCGGCGATGCCCGGCACTCCCGCCCGCACACTCCCGCTATCCCCGCGCAGACTCGTCACTATCCGCGGAGTCCCCGCTCATCCTCGCGGACATTTCTTAGTTTAAAACATCCCAGTCAAGCGCGAGAAACCTTCCTAGCTTTGAAAGACTGAAGGCACAAGCAAGCAAACAAAAAAACCCACGTCCCTAAGTCAGACCTAATTGCCTTAGCGCAAAACAGAAGATTTCACAGCCTGAGGTCGGTCTAGCCGGCTTAAGAAATACTGTTTACTTATCAAATAAAACAACAGGATTCCAGAGGATCAGCGGTCCTCCAGGAGAAATGCATTCGTTTTATTTTTGCTCTCCTGTCAAACAGACGCCACTTGTAGATTCCCCAAAACACTCTCCTGCATTAGAAATACTGCATGTTAAGCACCCGCATACACACCCACCCATCCGCACGGAGAAAGACTTACTCTTGGAGTGATCCCCCATAGCACCCAAAAAAGGATAGTGAAAAATAATATCCACCATGCAGGAAAGAGACGAGCGCAAAGTGTGCGGCCAGGGGCAGAAGGACGAGGGTCGCGCGCCCAGCCTCGGCTCTTTGCTAACTAACTCCTCCTGCCCGGCGGAGTTGAAGGAGCGATTCCGCACCGGCCTCGGCCGGATGCCGCACGCAGCATGACGTCAGCACGCACTGGCCTCGGCCGGAGCTGGGGGCGGGACCGGTGGCGTCACGAAGCTTCCCCAGAGCCGCCGGGGACGCGGGGGAGGCGGTGGGGGCCCCGGGACTGCTGCGCGGGCTGGGTCGGGTGGAGGGCGGGGCGCGGGGAGATTGGCCGGAAGATGTGGACCGACCCCGATTGGCCCGGAGTGAACAATGGAGCGCAGCCCCCTCCCCCGAGATCCACAAGGATCCTCTCTCCGGTCCCCTGTCGGGCAATCCCGGCCGGACTCGCGTCGCCGGCGCCCG